ATGTTTTAAAAATCTGTCTTTTGACTCATTTTTATTCTAGGCGGTAATTTAAAGCTGAAATTTATTTGTTACTAATAGTATTTTCCAGAGTTCCTATTTGGTTTAAGTTAGTGGCGAATAAGGAGGAAAAAGTTAGCTTTAAATATGGTCCGTGATGAGTTTTGCACTTGAGAAAATGGCAGGCTATATTTAGAAGATCAGAGAATTGCTTCTAGAAATACGTGATGCTTGAGGTCTTTGGGATGATATGATGGACAATATATCGTTTAAGGGCGAAGCTCTGGCCAGAATGGCTCATGTGATCGCAATTGCAAGAATTATACATTCAAGTACAAAGGCTATGTTACATCTGTAACTGGTGTGGGTATGACTGCTGCTGGCATGCTTTGTCCTGAAGGCTGTTGGGCCAATTTTTACTTGCTGCAAAATCTTGCTCTAAAGCTTTGTGTTTATATTCATATTTTAAAACCTTTTTCATTTTGGGCAGTGAGCCTCGGTAATATCTTTTAGTCTAGCTATCAGTTCAGCTGTAGTGGATCCTGGTGGTGGTTAAATATGTTTTTGCTTTGGGTCTCTAACTCTGTTCTCTTTTGGAACGCAGATGTTTATTCAGCTACTACACATGAACATCTCTTATACATATAAGAATGTGCCAGATACCGGATTTAAAATTTTCACTGAATCACTGCTTTCTGTGAGCTGTAGTGCATATCGTGCTTCTCTGCTTCTGTGTTCTTGTGGTAAAAATACAAAATGGAAATGAATGTCTAGCACTGCAATTGCACAGGAAACATCATACCTGAAAATGCATGCAATTTCCTGTCTAGTATGGGTATTTATGATATTTTCATTGAACATATCCACTCTTCAACTGAGATTTTCTTCAGAATATTTAGGTCATTTTGCTTCATGTGGAAAAAGATTGCAGAAGGTTGCATTAAAGAGCTTAAGTTTTGGATTTATTTTAAATGGAACTCATGTTCCTGCTGTCTTTACAGAATGGTGTTTCTGTAGTAAAGATCAGGAGGGTGTTTTTTTTTTTTTAATATAGGTACAGCTTATGAAAATGCCTCTAAGCTATTGACTTAAACTGATTTTATACCAGTGCTAGTTTTCACATCTTGCTGTTGTCCTCTTCCTTAAGTGCTCCCCCGCCCAGCAGAGAGATAGCTTTTTCATTTACTTTGTTTTAGCTGGAAGTAGCAAAGGTTAGAGTAGTTGCAACACTAAAAGATTTTTTTTTTTTTTTTTCATTTGGTGACATCCCACGTTGAGGCAACTCTGACTTCACTTGGTCATTAAACAAACCTCGTTTGTGAAAGACCTTTTCCCCATTAATTTGATCCATTAAAGAAACACTCTTTGAAGCTGATAGTTGATCTTCCTAGTTAAATTGTAGGGTTTTTACTCAGGTTGGTTACAGCTTAATTTTAAACAAAAAGTAGCAAACCACTGTGCTACTATTTAAATAAATATTTAATGTTTAAATATTTATCTGTATTTAGTAGGTAGTCTTTCTAGAAAGGAAATACATAATAAGTAATAGGGAGACTAGAATCCGTCACTTGAGCATGTGCATTTGGTACCAACATTTCAGTAGTTACTTGAGTTTTGCCTGTTGTAAAATCAGAATGAGTTCCAGTAGGCGGCACTTGATTGTCTAGTTTTGGAAGTGAATTTTAACAGAAATGTTAGAAGCTTGATTTTAGGCTTTCACTCAGTAATTAATAATTCAATGGCTGTGAGAAGTGTTGGCTATTTATCCTGAAGTCTGCTGCTAGCTGTGCTGAAAGTAGGTAAAATCTAGAAAACGTCAGAAATATTCTTGAGAATATAAAGCTTTCATAAAGAAAATGTAAGGGAAAGGGCTGAAATTCCAACTTGTAAGGCTAGTATCTATTTCCATCTCTGGCATTGTTCTTCTCCACGTGCATTTGTTATTTTTAAGCCTGACAAACTTGTAGTCTTGAAATGCACAGCATTATTGCCAAAGCTTATCTTTTTTAATTAAGTGCTAACAGTCTCCTGTTGAAAAGGAAGCCATGATAAAACTGTAGGCCTCTGGTCAGATGGAAAGCAATTACTTCAAGTATTCATCTCCTGAGTTTCTATACTAGGAGGAGCTTTTCTCAGAAGAAGGGATCTTGAATGAGTATCTAGGAAAGAAAAACCAGAGATATGAAGGTGAATCTGTCTAAGGCAGTGTAATTAATTGTTTTACCCTTGTTATGAGAGATACTATTAGTCCAAGAAAGAGGACTAAGAGAATTAAGAATGCTGTGTTCACCTGCACCCTTTGTTTTTCACTATGGGAAAATATATTTGAGGCCTGACTTCAGAAATAAATGTTAAATCCATCGGGTGACATAGTTAAAATATTTTTTTAGTGTTTTTAAAGGTCAAGCTTCTAGTAATGACTGTTTCGGGATGTACTTGTATATTGGGAAGCCTCAAGCTTCTCAGACCATGATCTCTGTCTGCTTCTAGAGCAGGAACATCTCTCTCCGTGTTGAGACTGAATGTGAAGAAATTTACAAGATGGGAAAATATCATCAGTTATTTTATACTTTCCTTTTATGGAATACAAGCTGCATTCAGAGAAACTGATAGGACTATAGTATGTCTGTGTGTGTGTATATATATATGTGTGTGTGTGTGTGTATGTATAGATATAAAGCTAATTTGATACCTTTTGGTCAGTTTTCCAAAGACCACCTTTACTATTATGTTGATACAATCTCATTACATAGAAATATAGTAGTCTGATCTTTGCCATGCAAAGAAGAAAATGTAATCATATTCTTTTCAGAATCTTATGATTCTGAAAATTAAGCTGCTAAAGCTTATTGCTGTTGGCGATGACAGAGGGGTAGAAGGAAAGGATGATAGCAGTTAGGAATGGATGCCTTAAAATTTCATGAAGTTGGGAGGAAAAAAAGAGTAGGTAATCTCAGAAATTCTGTCAGTTTACTTTGTCCTTATAGCAACTTCTTAAACTTCTTTCATGTTTTAAGGCATTCTTGCTTTTGCTATCAGTCTTAATGCTATTGTCACTGGCACTGTTGCGCAAGCTAAGCAAGATTTTTGGCTGTTACAACTGTGAATAGCACATCAGATAAAGGACCAAAAATGTGTTTCTTTGCCTATCTATTTCACTGCTTCCACGTAAGCAGATTCACCATTTCCCAGGTAAAATCAGCTAGTGAGTCATTTTCCTGTCATTTGTGGTACTGTCACAGGATATGTGCTAAATAAAAAGTTTTATTTATATATATAAATAAAAATAAATCTATAAAACTATATAAATATTTTATATAAAACTTTTTAATTTTTTTCCACAGATCTCCAAGCTTAGCAAAGAAAATTTGGCAGTGATGATACCTGGCCTTCTTCTAATCTGACTAGACTTTGAAAAGTTATTCTTAAACTGTTTGTCGGTAGTAACTATAATGCAGTATAAAAAGAATTGTTTTTTTCTTCATCTAGTGATAATTAATCTCTTTATGATAACATTAAAAGACACGCACCTTTGAATTATAAAAAAAGTGTTTATAGGCATATATTTATCTTACCATTTTCATGTAGGTAAATGGAAAAAGGGAAAAAGGTGATCCTACAGATTAGTAACACTGTCTTTTGTATCTTAATTAAATGTAAAATGAAGGTAGCATGCCTTCAGTAGACATACACGTATAGAGAGAGAAAACCTGAAACTAATACCTTATGTTTTTGCATTGTCCATTTTAAAATAAAAGCACATTTAACTGCAGCAGCCTAATCTTCCCCAGGGACCATATCAGCGTTGAGTTCTTTGTGTTCAAATGCAAGAAAAATTTAGAGTTCCTGTCTTAAAATGCTTAGTTTAAAAAGAATGTGACAGATACATGAGGCAAACATGAACTGCTGTGAGTACAGGGAAGAGGGATGATAAACAGCATAAATATCAGGATTACTGACTTGTGCAAAAATCAGCGTTGGTTCCGGGCTGGTAGCAACCTGCAATTTACTACATGCATTTTGGGGGAGGGTGAGTTTAATAGAGGCAATGGAGGGAGAATCACAGAATGGTTGAGGTTGGAAGGGACCTCTGGAGATCATCTAGTCCAACCTCCTTGCTCAAGCAGGGTCCTCTAGAGCATATTGCCGAGGATCACATCCAGGCGGGTTTTGAATATCTCCAGCAAAGGAGACTCCGCTACCTCTCTGGGCAACCTGTTCCAATGCTCTGTCACCCTCACAGTCAAGAAGCTTTTCCTCAGGTTCAGATGGAACTTCCTGTGGTTCAGTTTCTGCCCGTTGCCTCTTGTCCTGTTGCTGGGCACCACGGAGAAGACTGGCCTCATTCTCTTGACACCCTCCCCCCCTTCAGATACTTAGAATGAGGCAACTTCTTTACGGCAGGGAGTTTTCCACCATAGGAGAGACTATGGAAGAGGCTATATGGGAGAGAGAAATAGGAAATGTAATTTTTGGGACACCGAAGCTAGACACATTAAGTCAATATCCTTACACATTTGACTTTTTAGGTGGGCTTCGTAAGGATGACGGGTTTAGCGAGTGAGGAATGAGATGGTTAATGGAGGAATTTGGAGGGTGTACGTGATACTGCTGAAGCATCATATTAGTGATCACTTAAGCTGTATGGACTTTAGGGGTTGGTAGGAAAGGAAGGAAACGGGATTTGGAGGCAAGAGAGCAGTAGTCAAGGTATGAGACAACAGGGACTTTAAGAACATTCAATGTATGTAGATATCTGTTTTTAAGAACTGATTTTTATTGTTGGAAGACTTTGTGGTTTGGAGTCTAATTCTGGCAAAGCCCAATAGCTGCAGAAATGTGTGTGCAAATACAGAATTAAATTTAAAAAACAAAGTTTTAAATGATTCAGCTTCAGAAGCAAATGTATTGTCTACTGGGCAGCTTATACAGTTTCAAATTTGACTTGCCTTAAGGACTCCTACTCTTGCTTTTTATATTAACCCCACATTTTATTTATATAGGATTAGTTCAGAACGCAGAAAGGAAAAATCAAGAGATGCAGCCAGATGCCGAAGAAGCAAGGAATCCGAAGTGTTCTATGAACTTGCTCATCAGCTGCCTCTCCCACACACCGTGAGCGCACACCTTGACAAAGCCTCTATTATGAGACTGACCATCAGCTACTTACGAATGAGAAAGCTGCTAGATGCTGGTAAGTGAATAACAACTTAGCATCAGAATCTGGAAAGGGGGCTGCATGTATACTGACAAAGAAGCTACTTTGAAGCCTATGAGCAATTTAAAAAAATACTGAAATCAATAGTGGGGTGGAGACCTTCCACTAAAAAGAGGCTGTTAGTGAAGGCACAGGAAAAATATGGCCACAGTTTAATGGACTACTTTTTTCCCCTTTCTGTTCTGATGATACTAGTTGCCTCATCAGAGTAAGCTGAACCACAATGCCATTTTAAGAATCTCAGCTTTTTGACCCTTTTCCCAAAGTTAGGTATCTTTCAGGTAAGCTTTCTTTCCCCTAGAGAATTAGGCTAAAACTGTGCTTTACTGAACTGTAGATGGTAGGTGCAAGGCTGGCCTGGCAAACTGTGGGTGTTTCTTGTTAATACAACCTGGGAATTTTTTTTTTATAATTTGTACTCCACTGAGGGTGAAGTTAACTGAGGCAATGCCTGCCGTGTTGCAGTCATTTCTGCAGTTTGTACGGATAGGTGTATCTTATGAACCAGTTTCAGCTAGCTTATGAACCAGTATGTTTAGCATGCCATAGATGCTGTGCTACTTACTGGTGTAGGCAGGCACATATGAGTACCAAAGTTACTCTTCTGTATTGTAGATATGCTCTTAAAAGGAAGCCCTTGAGAAAAGTGTGTAATATCTTTAAGATAGGCAGTAGTATTTATGCCAACTAGCATTTTTCCTCAAGGTGAAGGGTTTACTGGCGTACGTAGAAAGTACCTCATTCTAACTTTGTGATTCATGGTATCATTGCCAGACCTTGAAGAATTTAATTGATCACTTATTGCAATTCACTTATCTGAGATGTGTTTGAACAGTCCTGCTAGATTGGCTCCTTACAGACTGCTGCCAGACATCATTCGTGATGTTTACTCACAAAAGTATGTGGGTTCTTATAGGTGAGCTGGAGACAGAAGCCAAAATGGAGAAGGAGCTGAACTGTTTTTACTTAAAAGCTCTTGATGGATTTGTCATGGTTCTCTCTGAAGATGGGGACATGATTTACATGTCTGAAAATGTGAACAAGTGTATGGGACTCACTCAGGTGAAATATTGACACTTTCTAAGATTTACAGAAATGTATCAACTTTTTACAGATTTGAATATAAAAAGTTAGACTCAATGTACCGCTTACTTTTACAGTTTGAGTTGACGGGGCACAGTGTATTTGATTTCACTCATCCGTGTGACCACGAAGAGCTGAGAGAAATGCTTACACACAGAAATGGTGAGAAGAAAGAAATCTATTTGATTTAGTTAAGGATAGTTCCTGTTGGCATTAGCATGTTTGGTTATCTGCTGGATAAAGGAGTTAAGAGAGAACAAACTACTATATTTTGTTTTTTAGATCTCGCATCTTGTTCGGAGATACTGGCTACAGAAATAGCCAGAATGTTTTTCGAAACACTCTAATTGTAGGAGAGATGAGACTTCATTAGTACTCTTTAATCTAAAACAAAATTAATGACTCAAACAGAATTATTGAAGGTTGAAAGACATAGCATGCCTACAGGAAAAAGTAGTTAGAGGTAGATTGAATGAGAATGATTTTAAGTGACTGCTATAGAATAATATGGAGAAGTTAGATTTTGGTACGTTTGCCTTGGTCTAGGCATGTCTTCTCAGGACACCTTAAAGGGAAATGGTTTCTTCCAGAAATCTGTGGTGTTATGTCTAGGACATAGAAAAGATGAAAAAAACTAATCAGGTGGTAGTCTTATGGATGCCTTTGCTTGGGTAAAAATAAGGAAGAATACCCTTCCACCCAGACAGACCCTAAAAGCCACTGTTAATTCTGGGCTTTGGGACTGATGCTTCACAGCACCTTTTAATCAGTGCATGAAATTGGTATCTTTTCTCAAATATCAAATTTTTTCCTCAGTGCAGTAGAATAGAACTTCATAATCACATGTTCTGTATACTTTTGAAATTAATATATGCCCATGAATCGGTGATTTTAAGTCTTTGCAAAGCTCGTTAATGATTGTAAAGACTAGGCAACATGCATGCCTCCAAATGGATCTGCTTTACTCAGTTGCTGCAGATCTAAAATCTGACCTCCTGGTTCATCAGTTCAGTCTAAACTCCTGGTTCATCAAAGAGGGTTATATAGACTCTCAGTTTAGAGGATGATAAATTACCACATGTCATAAAAATCACTTAAGACCCACTTCTGCTTTCTTGTATCACTAAATTAGAAGTATGATTCCATTTAACTCAGTGGAGGAGACCAGATAAAGTATAGTATTGAGGGCCCTGACTTTGATTTTTTTGTAAGGTCTTTCTAAATTTCTCTGCTCTTACTATTGAAGTATATATCCAAGGCTAGATTTAGATATCTTCTCCCCCCCACCCCCAATGCAATATTGCATCTGCCAAAAAAAAAAGTCACTAAAGCAGGGTAAACACCTTTCCCGTTATGAAAATATATTATTAAAAAAAAATGGTATTAATGAATGTCATGAAAACTAACTCTAGCATGTCTAAACTGACTAGACTGGAATAAGATGTCTGGAAAGCATTATTACCAAATCTGTTTTGCAAATGAAATGGGCAGACAAAACTCTAAATTACAGTAATAACAGTACGTTTTTATATTTATTAGGATTCCTAGGTTACATTCTACTCTAGCTCTTACATCAGTGGAATTACTTTGGTTTGGATTTGAGAATTAAATACTGCTCTCTGGGATTGTACAGGTGCAAATGAATATAAATATGATTGGCAGAAACTCTTAACTGCATTCTGGTTTTACAAGGTTGCTTTTGAAACTTTCAGAGCTGGCAATTTTTAAGATAATGTCTGAATCAGACTTGTGAAAGCTGCTCCATCTTTTATAGCTGCTTCTTAGAGCTCAGCCTTAAGCATCAGGAGTTAGTAACAATAACATTATTGTGTGATCTTCAGCTATGAATTTCTGAATTGGTTTAACTCTCTAAAAACCACAGTTTTTAAAACTGAATTAAATAGGTGGTTGTTGTTTCTCTGAAGTTTGCATTTTTGTTCTCCTTTATTGAAGATATTCCCTTGCAGCACAGAGTAGGCTTGTCCACATCAGTGTTCGTCTCTGCTAGCAGCACGGCTACAATAGACGAGGCAGTGTAACGGCTTTACTGTTTTCTAATGAATTTAGTCAAGCTGGTAGCTGCAGAGTAAGCTACCATGAAGAATTTCATATTTCATCTGTTATCTTTGGAAGATGAGCAAAATATTTTATAAACTTGTATCATAAGTAAGCTCATATGTGTTCTAAACTTCCATGCTATACCATGACTTAGTTCTAACTCATTAGCACTCCTCTGCAAATTCATTCTTTCCCAGCTTTCCTTATCCTAGCTGCTTCGTTTTCTTTTCCATTCACAGTGAGCTGCTTGCAGCTCTCCTGGTAGGATTGGTTTGCATTTTCTCTGCCCAAATGAGACTGTTCGTTTTTTAAATAGCCTAGCAAGTAATTGTCTTTGAAAGGTTCTCCCCTATAAAGGCAAAAACTTACTTGATAACAGTAGACTTTAAGTTAAAACTAAAAATTGAATACTATTAGTATTAATTTGCATTAGGATTTCCTGACTTTTTTCAAGAAAGCTTACTTTTTTTTCTTCCCCTAGTCTTAGAGATAGTTCTGTAACTTATTTTTTTTTTTTTTTACATCTGGGGAAGATGATCCAAGAGCTTAAGAACTGGTTTACTATTTGCTTTTGTTAGGTCCTGTGAAAAAGGGCAAAGAGCAGAACACGGAGCGCAGCTTTTTTCTCAGAATGAAGTGTACACTGACTAGCAGGGGAAGAACAGTGAATATTAAGTCTGCTACATGGAAGGTAAATAATGCAAAGGAATATTTATGCAGCTTGGCAACTGGCTCTTCAGATGTCGTAACTTACTGTATTTCAACATTTTTAGTTAATGTCACTTGAGCTTGAGTTTCACTAAGTACTTAATGATTGTGCTTAAATATGCTGAATTTTAATGCTGAATACAGCAGGGAGGTAACTGAAACAATGCTTTAAAATTAGTTTTTTGACAGTCTTTTAATGAACTCTCCATTTTAAACCAGAGGTTATTTATTAGAAATTATAATTCCTAAATATGTTTGTGTAAAGTCCTCTCTGAGGAAAAAGTTACCTGACATTAGATATAATACGGATAACTGTTTCATTTTGATTTGATTGTAAACGTGACAGTTGAGATCTCTCTGAAAGACCTAAATATTGCTCTTTCTGAAGTTGCTGGCTATCTCACTTTTAATGAAGTGGAATAAAAAGAGCATAATTTGATAACTTTCTGAAATGAATGCATTTTCTTCTTTGGGCAAAACACAACCTTTTACTATATCCAGTGGTAATACTACTCAGAATTCTCTTTTATAACTTAAACTTAATTATTCTTGATCACACAGCTTTTTTCTTCTTTTCTGCTGTATGTGAACTATTTCTCCTTCAGAGTGGTAAAGGGTGGGGGCAGAATGCTAAACTTCATATCTTTTGGAGAATCTACTTGATCTCTCCTTGCAATATCATTCCTGTAAAATGTCTAAAATTGAGACTGCTACTCTTTCTACAACTTTCAAATTGAAATAGTTAATTATCTTCTGGTGATGCAATTGCAAATCAGAGTCATTATTCAGGTATCTTTCAAAGCTGTGAGAAGCAAAGAAACTTCTAGCATTGTTTCAGCAAACACCAGGGAGAAATGAACTGGCAGCCAGCAGCCAGTCTAGTAATCACAGGCCGTGTA